CGGTCCGGACCCTGAGTCTGACTCTCTTCGTGCTGCTAGTCCTACTGTCACGCGTCTCCTGGCCACGGTTGTCACTGACCCTACCTTTGAGTCCACTGCTGCGTCTGCCTTAGTTGCTGAGCTGGTCGACTTTGCTGCTCACTGTCGTCTAGACTACTCCGCGAGTCTTGTTGCTGAGTCTGAGTCTGTCTGTCCTCCGTTCGTCGGGGGTGAGTGTGCTCTTGGCACGGACGTCCTTGAGGACAGGCAGGAGGACTTTGAGTGCTTTGCAACCGCTGTACCTCATCTCGTGTCCATGCTGATTGCACATGAGGGAGACCCGGATGCACCAGACATCCCGACCCCGCGCTCTTACGCGGAGGCGATAGAGGGTCTCTACTCCTCTCAGTGGCAGTCAGCCATGGACGCAGAGATGGCATCCTGGAAGTCCACAGGCACCTACGTTGACGAGGTTTCCCCTCCTGGGGCGAACATCGTCAGTGACATGTGGATTTTCAGGGTGAAGCGGCCGCCGGGTTCTCCGCCTGTCTTCAAGGCGTGTTACGTTGCTCGAGGCTTCAGTCAGCGACAGGGAGTTGACTTCTTTCAGACCTTCTCCCCGACCCCGAAGATGACCACTCTTCGGGTTCTGCTGCACGTCGCTGCTCAGCGTGACTACGAGCTTCACTCTCTTGACTTCAGCAATGCTTTCCTATAGGGCAGCCTGCACGAGAAGATCTGGCTGCGCCGCCCACCTGGCTTCACTGGGTCGTTTCCTCCGGGTACCCAGTGGAGCCTCCGGCGGCCAGTCTACGGTCTCCGCCATGCGCCTCGTGAGTGGCACGACACACTGAGGACGACTCTTGCGGCTCTTGGATTTGCTCCTTCTACTGCTGACCCGTCGCTGTTTCTACGCACCGACACTTCGCTGCCGCCGTTCTACACCCTCGTGTACGTCGACGACTTGGTCTTTGCCACTGATGACACTACTGGACTGGCCCACGTGAAGTCGGAGCTGCAGAAGAGACACACGTGCACAGACCTGGGTGAGCTGCGCAGCTATCTTGGCTTGCAGATCACCCGGGACAGAGCACGGCGCACCATTACCTTGACTCAGTCACACATGGTGCAACTGGTCCTTCAGCGCTTCGACTTCCAGTACTCCTCGCCACAGCCCACTCCTCTGCCTACAGGTCACTCGCTCTCAGCTCTGCCTTTGGATGAGTCCGTAGAGCCGAGTGGCCCGTATCCAGAGCTTGTGGGCTGCCTCATATACCTGATGACCTGCACTCGACCTGACCTTGCTTACCCTCTTAGCATCCTGGCACGCTACGTTGCGCCCGGGAGACACCGACCAGAGCACTAGAAGGCTACTAAGAGGGTGATGCGCTACTTGTGCAGTACGTTGGGCATGGGGCTCGTGCTTGGAGGACGGGCTCGAGTTGTCCTCACTGGTCACGCAGACGTTTCTTGGGTTGACGACTTGGCTACGCAGCGGTCGTCACAGGGTTACACCTTCAGCCTTGGCTCCGGTTCTGTTTCGTGGCGGTCTACCCACTCATCTTCTGTTCTCAGCTCCAGTGGTGAGGCTGAGATCTACGCAGGGGCCATGGCTGCACAGGAGTTACGCTGGCTCACCTACCTGCTGACCGACTTGGGAGAGGCGCCTCGTTCTCCTCCAGTTCTGTACGTCGACAACAAGGCCATGCTGGCCTTGTGTCAGGAGCACAGACTGGAGCACAGAACGAAGCACATTGCTCTTCGCTACTTTCTTGCTCGAGAGTTGCAGTAGCGTGGTCAGCTTCGTCTTGCTTACGTGGCCTCTCGGGCCAACACTGCTGATATCTTCACCAAGGCACTTTAGCCTTGTGATCATCAGCGTTTCTGTACTGTTCTAGGCCTTGTGCCTACCTTGCCTCACTTGCTCACTTCTTGACTTTGCTTGTACTGTGATCTATATATCTATACCTGCATGCTTTCACTTGCTAGGTTTTGATCACTATCCTGTTTGTTCTATGTTATATAACTCTGCTTGTGAACTCGCCTTGTGGCCACCTACTTGTGCTCAGAATGCGTGGTGACGTTGTGATTCACCCTGGGCTTGCTTTGCTTTTCTTGACTGGTCTTGTGACCCCTTGCTCTCCCCCACTTTGCCTATGGGGGTGTGTCAAACTTATATGCTATAGTCTGTTTAGGCTGTAGTGAGGTAGTTCCTATGGGGTACAACAGTTTTAGGTTTTCCTACTTGTACCCACCCCTTTCCTAGTGCACTTCACTCTTGTTAATTCTGACATCTGATTAGGCCTTCTACTTCGACACCACTAAGTTATAACCTTTTTTATCCACAAAATTTGGGAGATCTGAGAGTTCCAGCTCTGCCTTGTATCTACACACAAGCGTGCATATTGACCGAACCGACCAACGCATTATTTTCACTGTAGAAATACAGTGAATACCATATATTTTCCCATTTCCTTTAAAATACACCATTCCCCACCCCCATACCGGGTTTTAACCTTTAAGATCCATGTAATTTGGCATATATATGCATTCCAATCGTACATGGTACCTGCACTACAAGCGCGCATATCGACTAAACTGACAAGCGCATTACTTATGTTTGTAGAGATGCAGTTAGTACAATTTTCTTGTCAGTCCACTAGATTAGGCCTCCTACTTCAACACCACTAGGTTTTAACCTTTTGGATCCATATAATTTGGGAGATTTCAGAGTTCCAGCTCCGCCTTGTACCACCACACAAGCGTGCATACTGACCGAACCGACCAACGCATTATTTTCTCTGTAGAAATACAATGAATATCATATATTTTCCCATCTCGTATGAACCATACCATTCCCCACCCCTATACCATGTTTTAACATTTGGGATCTATGTAATTTGGCTGATATAGGCACTCCAGTCGTACATGGTACCTGCATTTTAGTCGCGCACACCGACCAAACTGACAAGCGCATTACTTATGCTTGTAGAGATGCAATAAGTACCCTTGCTAGTCTACTATATTAGCCCTTCTACTTCAACACCACTAATTTATAACCTTTCGGATCCTCATAATTTGGGAGTTTTCAGAATTCCAGCTCCGCCTTGTACCTGCACACAAACGTGCATACTGACCAAACCGACCAAAGCAATTTTCTCTCTGTAAAGATGCAGTGAATATCATATATTTTCCCATTTAATTTAAATTATACCATTCCCCACCCCCTACAATGTTTTAACCTTTGGGAGCTATGAAATTTGGCGGATATAGGCAATCAAGTCGTACATATTACCTGCACTACATGCACGTAAATCGACCAAACTAACCAGCGCATTACTTATGTTTGGAGAGATGCAGTTAGTACCATTTTCTTGCCAATCTACTAGATTAGGCCTTCTACTTCAACAACACTAGGTTTTAACCTTTTCGATCCACATAATTTTGGAGATTTCAAAGATCCAGCTCCGCTTTGTACCTGCACACAAGCGTGAATACTGACCAAACCGACCAACGCATTATTTTCTCTGTAGAAATACAGTGAATACTATATATTTTCCATTTCCTTTGACATATACCATTCCCCATTCCCCTACCAGGTTTTAACCTTGTGGATCTATGAAGTGTGGCAAATATAAGCGTTTTAGTCGTATATGGTACCTGCACAACAGGCGCGCATACCGACCAAGCCTGTTTGTTGTGCACCTGACCTCTCTTGAGACGGCACTGCTGTATGTATTTCTCTGTAATTTGTGGCATTTGCATAATTGATTTATCTCTAGTGCGTAGTGAGAATTAGCTGACAATTGCCATGCAAGTTAAGTTATCTACAATAAACAAACGAGCTCAGCTCGGAAGAGGTATAGCAATACATTATCCATGGTAATCTCATAATGCACCTTTGTGTCAGATAGTCATACGGTGACATTCCGGCATTTCGCATATTTCAACTCAGTGATTCACGGTTGAAATAACCATTACCTTATCAGATATACATTTCTTTTGCATAAACTAGATTTCCAGTCAAATGGTGTCCCTAAGATGGAAACACCAGATAATTTATGTAATAGTTTCACCGAAGAGTCTCTTGTGGTGTACCTCGAGGCACCGAACTGAATCCGCTCCAACGCTCATCCCCTACACCAGATCTGCCACCACCACGCCATTGCTTCTTTCTCCTCCTCTTCTCGCCACTAATATTCGCCGCGCTTCGGCCCGCCGCGGATATTACCCCTTCGAGCCACCTCCTTTCGCGCTCTTTTGGCCCTCACGATGGCTTAGTGACCCCCCAAGGAATATCTGAGCTTAGTTGGCAGTGTTTGGGGTCGATAGGCAACCCACGTAACTCATTTTAGCATCCTGATTTGACTTCGACCGGCCATTTGGCTTAGGCGCTGCTGACTCGGACGATCGCATTCCATTTTTCGCATTTTCGCGCTCGAAAGTATTCATCGCAACGGCTTTCTACGCACCCCCCTCGTCATCCTCCTCATCCTCCTCGTCATCCTCCTCATCCTCCCCGAGTTGGGTATGCGAACGCAACTCTCGCTTGCGCATTGCCACGCTCCCACCCAAACTGCTGCCTCCACCTCTCCCTCCGCATTTCGCACCTCCCTTTCTCCTTTTCGCTCCTAGTTCTCACCTCGTTCTCATTCAGATCGGCTAGTTTTCGCTGTGAGAATCCCATAGTTGGGATGATAGGTGAACTCAAGAGTTGGTTTGATTAGAAAGATGGTGGGTACATATAAGAGATGAGAAGTGGGAGACCTAGGTTGGGTACCCGCAACATTATTGGTTAGCCAATGGGAGTAGCCACCAATAATGTTTTGGAGGTGGCTGACAATTATTGGGGGGCCTGGTTCCCCCCGCCAATTGTGGCAGAGTGGGGTTGGGACGCGCCCAACCAAAACTGGTTGGGGCGCCTTGGCCCAAAGTGTACACCCATGTTTGGGTGTTACACTTGCACATTTACAACCCAACTGATGCTATAATCTAACACAACCCCTTAGCAGAAGAAGGGTTTAAATGTGCACAACCCCTGAATTGACAAGCCGGGAGGGGGGCTGCTGCAGGTGAGGAGGCAAGCCAGCCCAAGGTGCTGCGGCGGTGAGGTCGCACGCCAGCCGGGAGGGGGGGCTGCTGCAGGTGAGGAGGCAAGCCAGCCCAAGGTGCTGCGGCGGTGAGGTCGCACGCCAGCCGGGAGGGGGGGCTGCTGCAGGTGAGGAGGCAAGCCAGCCCAAGGTGCTGCGGCGGTGAGGTCGCACGCCAGCCGGGAGGGGGGGCTGCTGCAGGTGAGGAGGCAAGCCAGCCCAAGGTGCTGCGGCGGTGAGGTCGCACGCCAGCCGGGAGGGGGGGCTGCTGCAGGTGAGGAGGCAAGCCAGCCCAAGGTGCTGCGGCGGTGAGGTCGCACGCCAGCCGGGAGGGGGGGCTGCTGCAGGTGAGGAGGCAAGCCAGCCCAAGGTGCTGCGGCGGTGAGGTCGCACGCCAGCCGGGAGGGGGGGCTGCTGCAGGTGAGGAGGCAAGCCAGCCGAAGGAGGGGCTGCGGCGGATGATGCGGCACGCCAGCCGAAGGAGGGGCTGCGGCGGATGATGCGGCACGCCAGCCGAAGGAGGGGCTGCGGCGGATGATGCGGCACGCCAGCCGAAGGAGGGGCTGCGGCGGATGATGCGGCACGCCAGCCGAAGGAGGGGCTGCGGCGGCGAAGGGAGACGGCGGCTGCAGCGGGCGGGCTGCGGCGGCGAAGGGAGACGGCAGCTGCAGCGGGCGGGCTGCGGCGGCGAAGGGAGACGGCGGCGGCAGCGAGGGGGAAGGGGGAGGAGGGCTGGATGGCCCTTAGGAGGAGGAAGCGAGGGGGAAGGAGAGGAGGGCTGGATGGCCCTTAGGAGGAGGAAGCGAGGGGGAAGGGGAGGAGGGCCGAATGGCCCTTAGGAGGAGGAAGCGAGGGGGAAGGGAAAGGAGGGCTGGATGGCCCTTAGGAGGAGGAAGCGAGGGGGAAGGGGAGGAGGGCTGGATGGCCCTTAGTGCTGCGATCACAAGTTGATCGTGGCCTAGGATCTACTCAGGAAGGTTCGCACGCAGAGAAGTGATGTTGGTGGGCCCTTGACCTCAATAGCAGAGTGAATGTAAAATGCTTTGAGATGATTTAAAACATGCAAATACAGCAAATATGAATATGAGTGCAGGGGAGATGAAACGACCTAGCTAGCCATGTACTCTAAGGGGTACATTCCCTTATTCAAATACATTCCCAACCGTGCGGTGCGAACAATTACGAAACTGTTCCCGCTGAAACCATCCTGCCTGCAGCTGCCTGATGCTGTCTGCTCCGACGGTCCAGATGCGTCCCAACTGTCTGACGCTTCGAGTCGATTCCAACCGTCTGACGCTTCGCGTTCATTCGCGATACTGCGTGCTTCTCTTTGATGCGGTGAGGAGTGCACAGTAATATTCAAGTATTACTATTCGTAACACCCCCCTTCACTCCTGGCCGTAGCTCGACTTGACCTGCTTGACCACGCCGCTGAGTTCGGAGCAGTGCTGATACTGCTGGCGTGGCAGTCGCTTCGTGAGGAAGTCTGCTGCCATGTCACCGGTCGGGCAGTAGGTCAAGTTGACCTTGCCCTTGTCCACCTCATCCTTCACGAAGAAGTACCGCAGTGCAATGTGCTTGGTGCGGTTGACGAAACCAGGTTTGTTCACGATGCGAATCGCGCTCTGGTTGTCGCAGTGAAGGCGAAATGTGGGCGAAGCTGGAATTTTCGCCTCTTGCAGGAGTTCCTGCAAGTAGAGGCCTTCGCGAACTGCTGCGGTTGCTGCGATGAATTCCGCTTCGGCTGACGACAGGGCAACCAGCTCCTGCTTCTGCGAGTTCCAGGAGATTGGTCCCGTTGGCTCGAGTCGGAACAGGAAGCCAGTCCTGGACCGTCGATTATCGGGGTCTGCTGCGTGATCGGCGTCCACATAGCCGATGAGGTTGAAGGATGGAGTTGGTGCAGTTGAGTAGCACAGCCCAATCTTGGGCGTTGAAACGAAGAACTGAAGGGCGCGCTGCAGATCCAGAAGATTCTCAGCCGTTGGTTTGCGTGAATACTGCGCCAGCTGACTGGCGATGTACGAGAGGTCTGGCCTGCAGGTGACAGAGGCAAAGAGGAGGCATCCCAACTGCTGCTGGTACGTCTGAATCCCAGCAGGGGATAGGGGTTTGTTGTCGGGTTTGTGGTTCGGTCCGGGAGTTCGGTAGGGAGTTGAGAGAGGTGCAGGTGGAATGTTGAACCGCTTCCCTAACTCCTCTGCGTACTTAGCCGCTGAGAGATGAATGGCCTCAGGCGCGTAGGAGATGTTGAGGCCTAGAAACTGCTTCACCTCGTAGTTGCACGTGATGTCGACGCGCCCCGCCAAGGCCTTCTCGAACTGCTCGAGAAGCTCGTTGTTTGAGCCTGTGTAAAGCAGGTCGTCGACGTACACCGTGAGGAGAATGTATTCCCCGCAGAATTCGCAGCGATACATACCTGGATCGTGCGGCATCTGCTTGAATCCGATTTCAAGCAGGATGTTGTGCAGGTACTGCTGCCACAGCCTCGGAGCCTGTTTGATCCCGTAGAGTGACTTGCGCAGTTGGCACACGCGCGAGTCCCCTTTGCCGTAGGTGTGCGGCTGCTCCACGTAGATCACGGCGTCCACTAACGCGTACAGGAACGCGTTCTTCACGTCGATCTGGCGGAGTGGTAGGTGCCTTGCAGCTGCAATGGCGAGCAGGATTCGAACGGAGGTATGGCGGCTAACTGGGGCGAACGTCTGGTCGAAGTCGATGCCATGCCTCTGATCGTAGCCGCGAACCACCCAACGCGCCTTGAAGCACTCGATCGTTCCGTCCGCTGCGGTTTTCACGCGGAAGACCCACTTCCCCGAGAGGATTCTTGCGCCTTTGATCGCCGCGCGGTCGACTAGCACCCAGGTGTCTCGTGACTCCAGCGCCTTGATCTCTGCGTCCATTGCTTCGCGCCATTCCTTGCTGTGTGGTCCAGAAAGAGCTTCGCGCGGATTTCGGGGCTCGATGACACGTGGCGCCTTCGAAGTTGCGGTGTGAAGTCCGAGCAGCTGCAGTCCTGAGATAGTGCTGTCGTGGCGACGTTGCGGGATGACTTCCTGTACGTCGTCGTCATCGCTTTCTGGTTCAGGAGGCGCTGATGGTGCTGTGCCTCTGCCGCTTCCGCCTGTTCCGCTTCCGCCTGCTGCGCCCATTCCTTGTGAGGATCTAGGATCGAGCTCAGAAAAGAGAATGTGAATTGAATCGAATTGAATGATCACCTGGGTACAACACGAGGCTATATATAGGCTCGACACAAGGCCCCGTAACCAGGTGTTACGCGAAGGTTCCGCGGGTCGCGAAGCGTCCCGAACAGATCCTTCCCGAATTCGGTAGAAGGCAATTTGGTGGCAACCGAAAAGCCAGAATTCGGTGCACGCAACCTAGCTCGGTGCTATAACTATAATAAAATATAGGAAAGCACCTAGCCTAGGAAATCAAGCAATTCATGCATGCATATAATTATCCTATGCTAAAAATAGCATAATAAAGTAAAGGCAAGCAAGCATAGCTTGCATAAGCCGTCGTACTCTCACACGTCCCCCCCTCAAAGCTGGGTGGCGTGAGATACACCCTGCTTGACAAGATAGTCCTTGAGAGCACGGCGTGCGTTGCCCATATCAGCTTCTGCAACCCAACTGTCCTCAGTGGGGTCGTATCCCTTCCAGCGTATCAGGAACTCGAGGGTCCTGCCGCCGCGGCGCCGATGAGAGAGGACGCGCTCAATCTCGTACTCGGTTTCGTCCTGCACAAGAACAGGTGGAGGTGGCGGTAGCTGCCGTCCCTGGAACTGTTGGTTGGGGTCCTTGTAGGGTTTCAGTAGCTGCACATGGAAAGCATTGTGAAGCTTCCACATATCTGGTAAGCGCAAGCGGAATGTAACTGGTGTCACCTGTGCCTCAACGAGAAAAGGACCACAGAAGCGAGGCCGGAGTTTGGATGGGAGGTGAGACAGGTTCAAGTTGCGCGTGTCAAGAAGCACCTGATCTCCGACTGCTACTGAGTGATCACGTCGCTGACGATCGGCATACTGCTTCTGGGAGGTCTGCATCGTGGTGAGTCGTCGCTGAGTCTTCTCCCATAGCTGCTGCATGGTGGTGACGAAGTCATGTGCGGCTTGGACGTGTGCCGGTGTGGTAGGCTGCTGTGGTGTGAGTGGTTCCCGTCCGTAACACAGGAAGAAAGGAGTTTTCCTTGTGGCCGCATGTGACGCGTTGTTGTAAGCGAATTGTAGGGTCGGTAACTGTGTGTCCCAGTGGCTGACGTCGTCCTTGCAAGCTGTGCGCAGTAACTGTTCAACCACTTGATTGAGTCGCTCTGTCTGTCCGTCAGTCTGTGGGTGGTATGCTGAGGACATCGCAAGTTTAGTCCCCAATAATCCCATGAGCTCCTTCCAAAACTTACTGGTGAATTTTGGGTCTCTGTCTGAGATGAGTGTAGCGGGGATGCCGTGGATGGTGATGATGCGGTCGAAGAAGAGGCGAGTAGTTGCTTCTGCTGTGGCGGTGGCGTTGGTTGGTAGGAAGTGCCCCATTTTGGAGAACTTATCGATGACTACGAGGATGGAATCATGTCCCCGTGAGGTCGAGGGAAGTCCTGTGATGAAGTCGAGACTAACGACCTGCCATGGCTGCTCCGGTACGAGTAGAGGCTGAAGTAACCCTGCTTTCTTCTGCTTGCTGCTCTTCATCCGCTGGCACGTGTCGCAGGAGGTGACGAACTGCTGCACATCTGCTGCCATCCGGGGCCAGTAGTAATACTTCGCTATTCCCGCTAACGTCTTGTTGCTCCCGAAATGTCCCGCGTATGGTACGTCGTGGAACTCCTCCAATAGGATCTGCCGTAGCGGGGCGTAATTCGGTACCCAAATCTTTCCTGAACCCTTCCTTACAGCTAAGCCTTTCTCCCACTGTAACAGTTTCTGTTTCTCTGCCGTTGCTATCTCGCCGTCCACGGAGTACCCATGTTGGAATAGACCTTTGAGCAGAGGGTTCATCCCGTCGAGCTGGATGCCTGCTACATGACCTGGGCGGCTCAACGCGTCTGCTTTGTTGTGTAGCCCGGGCTTGTAGATGATGTCGTAGTGGAAGTGGGTCTCCAAGAAATCCACCCACCGTACCTGTCGTCGTAAGAGCGTAGGCTGCGACTTCAGGTATTTGAGGCTGCAGTGGTCAGTATAGACTGTGGTCTTGGCTCCCTCGAGGTAACACCTCCACGCCTTGAAGGCTACGACTATAGCTAGGGCTTCCTTGTCGTGGATGGGGTAGTTTAGTTCTGCTCCGTGCAGTTTCTTACTGAGGTAGGCGATAGGCTGTAAACCGTTCCCGTGATCCTGCATCAGTACTGCTCCGACTGCCTGGTCACTAGCGTCTGCTTCAACTACGTAGTCCTTCTCGGGGTCTGGTAGGATGAGTACTGGGGCTGTGGTCAGTGCTGTCTGTAGCTGTTCCATGGCTTGCTGATGCGGAGTATCCCATTTGAAGGGCGTATCCTTTTTCAGTAGGTCGGTCAGTGGCGCTGCAATCTTAGCGTACTGTGGCACGAACCTGTTGTAGTAGTTGGCGAATCCTAGGAACTGCTGCAACTCCTTCACGTTCTCCGGAACTTTCCACTTCTTGACGGCTTCGATCTTCCGCGGGTCCACGTGTACGCCCTCGGCACTCACCATGTGCCCGAGAAACTGCACCTTCTTCAGGGCGAAGTCGCTCTTCGACAGCTTCACGTAGAACTTGTTTTTCCGCAGGATCTCGAACACCTTCCGCAGATGCTCCACGTGCTCTTTCATGTTCTTGGAGTAGATGAGGATATCGTCCAGGTACACCACTACGCACTCGTCCAGCAGGGACCGTAGAATATGGTTCATTTCCGCCTGGAACGTTGCTGGTGCGTTGCAGAGTCCGAACGGCATCACCAAGTATTCGTAGGAGCCGTATCGAGTAAGGAACGCCGTCTTGTGGATCGAGTTGTCCGCCATCTTGATCTGCCAGTAACCCGACCGTAGGTCCAGCTTCGAGAAGACTGTTGCACCACGCAGTTGGTCCAGTAAGTCGTCGATGCGCGGTATGGGGTATTTGTTTTTAACTGTCTGTTTGTTCAGTGCGCGGTAGTCGATGCACATCCGTAAGCTGCCGTCTGGTTTTGGAGTGAAGAGAACAGGTGCACCGTAGGGAGAGGTGGATGGGCGGATCAGTTGTCTGTCCAGTAGATACTCTATCTGTTTCTTCATGTCTGTTAGTTCGGTCGGACTAGTTGGTATGGTGCACGTGAGACGGGTTTCGCACCTGGTTCCTCCACGATCTCATGCTCGTGGGTGTGTGCTGGAGGTACGCCTGCAGGTAGGTCGTCGGGCATTATATCTTTGTACTGCTCCAAGACCTCCTTCACTGCTGCAGGGAGCTCGGAACTCGGCTTCTCCTCCTCTGCTGCTGCCATGACCAGTGCTAGGTAACCCGTGTTACTCTCGTTCACTGTCTGTTCGAACCGTGCCAGTGTCGTCTCAGGTACGTCCCCTGTATCCGTCCAGCTTCGTAGTGCTATCCGCTTCCCGTTGTTGTAGATGCACACCTTGCTGTTGATCCAATCGATCTCGGGGTTGAACCGCTTCAGAAAATCTCGCCCCAAGATAAAGTCTAACCCTTTGATGTTGGTGACTGGTAGCTTCGGCTTCCACCTCAACGCACCTATATGCAGCTGCAGTGATGCTTCGCCGTGGATAGGAAGTTTCGTACCGTCCACCATGGTTGCTGAAAACTGGGTCTCCTCCGCCTTCTCTCCAATTTTCTCCAATGCTCCGCGGTCACACACCGAGTGAGATGCACCGCTGTCCACCAGTGCCTGGAGGCGTCGTCCATTGCATAACACCTCGAGGAGTAGTGGTTTCTGCTGCGCTGAGTAGCCAAAGAGGGTCTCATTAATAGGATCATAGGGTACATCAAACTTAATACCTTCCCTTTTTCCTATACCCGACTCAGCACTTTCCAACTTCACCTGGGGGGTGGGAGGATTTTTCCGAGGCTTGTATATTTTCTCCTGAGCCTGGATGCCTCCTCTAAGCCTTGGCAGCTGTGTAGGCTTCACCTGTGGGCAACGGGGAGCCTTAACACTGTGCTGCGAGGAGAGAATATTAACTCCGGAACGCACGACCTTTTTCTACGCTCCGTAGTACTTTGCCCAACTTCTCAGGTACTTGAATGATTTCTAAAGGCTTTTTCTTAGCCTCTAAACCTCCCCTGATTTTTTCAAAGGCTTGAAAATCACGAGAAGCAATATTCTTCGTTAGAGTATCTTTATAGGATACTTTTAACGAATTCTTACTTTCGTGGGTGTTCGGCTGGAGTTTCCCGGTCGGTGCAGACTCTTTTTTCGCGGAGCCTCCATTCGCCTCGGCGATTTCCCCTGATGCCGGCCGGTCGTGACGTTTTTGATTCGCGCCATCATT